GTGTAACTAGGAATTCTATGTTCAGCATTGTTTTTTTATGACAGACACGCAAAATTCACCTTTGCAGGAAATTTCTATTCTCCACTGCAGAATCTGGTGTGTAATGATACGTATTGAGTTTGGAGCAGGAAGCTCCAGACAAGAGGAGAATTCTCAGAGGGAATTTTAAATGGAGATGACAGCAAAGGGTAAAGTAAACCTTAAGATACCTTCTGTATGTTCCCCCCTGCCCAGGTCTCCTTTCAGCATTACAGAGCAGCAATCTTACCACACTGATAAACAGGGGTAACTGGAATTTTCCATATGGATATGTACACAGAAACATTCCCTACCTCATATACCTGGACTGTCTTTAAAACACACAACTACAACCAAAGGCAAAAATCCTCAGCTAAACTGCTAACTACCCCCTGGCTTACTGGGGCATTCCCAGACCAGCCACAAGTCTGTTTTTCAGTGTGTCCTTTCCAAAGAAGTTGGACAAATTTTGTAGTGTACTAGGAAAGAGGAATGCAAATAAGATGCTATTTATTTCTAGATGGCCAAAAGATTAGCTTTAAACCATTTTATTGCAATGTTTGTATAAAAACGTGTGGTTACAGGGGCTGTTAAATAAGTAAATAAAAAGACAAGGTTAAGTGGACTAGACAACAGAACTTGAAATAACTGTAATTTATGATACTGTCTATTGCTGGTCTTCCTTAGGGTTCGCTGAACAGTAATTTCAAGACAAGCTTCTTCCTTTCCCTTAGCCTGGGTCTCATTAGTCATGTTCCAAGGCAACAGGTTTCCATGACAGCAAACATTAAGTCTCTTGCAGCACAGCCCATTATTTCTGCTATAAACACTAAGCTTTCACTACTATGCTCCAATCCAGACCAGCCATCTTCATGAAAAAAAAACCCTGAAAAACCCTAACAGACATTTAAATCAACGCTGTACTTAATTTATACCATGGTCTTGCTAAGGAACACACACTCTATTGAATTCAGTGGGAATGTCGTCAAATTCCCCGGAAGGATGCTTTTACCTGCTCTGAGCTCACAGGTTCTTGGCAGCCGTCTAAAACAAAAATGTAATGATGCAAGATGATGCAGGCTCCACGCTCATAAAGGCATCAGATAAAGTTAACGAAAATCCCACCACAGGGATGAGCTGCCGAGTTGAGACCTTTGGGTTTAGTTATTTTACGCAGGGTGAGAGCAGCGTCCCCCTCACACCGGAGCTGTGCTAACAGAAATATTTTCAAACGCATTTTCAGTGGAGCAGAACGCCGCGGACAGGCACGGATAGAAGTTTTCTCTCTCCACCAACTGTATTGAGCCATGTTATTTTGCAGGGACTGTTGGCTGAATGTCTCTGGGTGTCTCTGAAAGCCTCACTCACACTGTTAAACTCTTCTCATCTTTCCTTACAAACCAATCCCTCCTGACCCCTAATGTACTGTTACTGCATGCTGTATTACTCCAACACATCACAGTGCTAAGCAGAGGATAAAACATGTGTTATCTATTGAAAGGACTGTAAAATAAATGAAAAAAATAGTATTTCATCCTTTCATAATTGCAGCATTACTCTGTCCGACACAAATTCAGGCAAAGAACCCTACCTAAACTTGACAATGTTTTCCCCCTGGGTTCCTGAAAGCACAGGGGTTTTTTTGTAGGAGCAGCTAGGGGAGGTGCTGAAGATTCACTTCCAGTGGCTTTTTGTTAAACACAGGCTGATAGCAGGTAACCCAAATGTCAGTTTTCCTACAGTTAGTTGTAAGAGTTGACACCTTTTAATGAGCCACAACACTCAGAGATGTGTAATGAAAAAAGACACAAAAATTATAAGAATTCATGAATCCTGTGAGATCCTCCCACTCCTGCCTCTCACTCATGATTATTTGTCATACTTTTAATACTCCTTTTGACATTATTACACTTATTTTCATCCCAGTCTAATGTCTGTCTCTCTCTTTTTAATTGCCACGGTATGTTCAAAGATGTCACAACTCCTGAGTTGCAAATAGTCGCATGACAGAGAACCAGCCCTGTCACAACCGGTAAGCAGCAAGATCAGAGCAAGAATCCTCCAGGCAGAGATGCTAATAAGAAAATCAAGGAGCTTTTTGTTAGCTGCAGCTGGTGAAAGCAAGGAAGGGAATCTAGGCTAGCGACATGACCATGATTAAGTTATTTTAGTAAACACCATTTTGCAAACTAGGACATAGGTGCTTGAAGCTTGTCAGCAAGGTGAGGGTTTAGGTAACTGCAGAAGATGTGAGAGATTGGGAAAACTGTTAAGGAACCTGCTTTCTAATACTTTTTTTTGATAATAATTCCATAACGTAATCTCAGAAAATTTTACATTGAGCATTTCCCAGAATAGCCAGGCAGGCTAGAAAGAGAAACATCAACAGCAAAGACAAATGAAACGGGCAATGCTTCCGAGAGATTTGTCAATGTATACAAAAATATGTCTTCTGCCTTAAGAAAAATTAGAGAACTAAGATATCAAGAGAGGCATAAATCTTCTGACAAGCTACGCTCCGCAGTGCACTAAGCTGTGCAGAGTCCTGTTGATGGCAATGGAGTTCCACAACTTTGGAGGCACAGGCATTTTGACACAGTGACCTAAAGGTGACCTGACCACAACTGGGTTTCATTTGGGCCTTTTCCCTTTGGAGAAAGAGTTGGGCTGAGCTGAATGCCATTGTAACACCACTTGGGTGAGTGACCCTTTCTCACTGAAGGCTGTAAAAAGTGTCAATACAAGTTGTATGTTTCAGACCAATCTGTTCTTAAGTATGGTACAGAAACAGATGGACACTTGCAGAAGTCACAGTAAGTAACGCTCACCTATGCTACTTTGTGTAGCCCATCGATAGGCAAAAGCAACAGCAATCTGTAGATGTTTCTTAGAGCTGGAGTATAGTTTAGCAGTTCTTTAGAGTGCTTAACACATACTTGCCATCCACAAAGGGAGGTGGCACAGCAGCCATACCACATTGCCATGACCTTTTGCGCTAGGGCAAGGAAACCATAATAATGCCTTCACACCTCTCAAGTTGACACTGGATACATCAGTTTGGCAATGCTATTTATTTCAGATGCTTATTGATATGGCTGGCATAAGTACCCCTAACTAACATACTGTTTTTTTCCATAAGGAATTCTTCTTCATTTGAAATGAGAGAGAAAGAAGTCCTACAGCTCTTCTTAGACTAACTGAAAAGACAGGCTTATGACATCCTTATTCATACCAGTAAATCTTCTTTTTGGAACTGCCATTTCAATATACTCCAGAATTCAAGCAACAGAGTCACAGAATCACAGCATGGCTCGCAATATTGCAGCCTCCCTCCAGAAGCAGTTAGGCACGCTGCTGTCCATGCAAAGCTGCAGAGGCTTTTAAAACTTTAAGTGGGCACCCAAAAGTTAAAAAAAAAAAAAAAAAAAAAAAAAAAAAAAAAAAAAAAAAAGGAAGAGTAAAAGCAAATGAAACTACTGATGATTTCACTGAATAGAAGTCACTCACGAAAGTAAAGAGCGGAAAGAGCCTCTTTCCACATTCTGAAGTGGCTTCTTAATCAATTAAACACTCTGCTTTAAAAAACTTAATTTCAAACCATGAGAAAATAATATACAACTCATACAATTTCATTAATTTACTATTAAATTGAATGTCTTCAGAGCTATTAAAAAGCCCTTCAGCAATTTCACAATTTTTTCAATGCTGAAAGTATGCCTTTGACATCAATATAGAGAAAACAGATGGATAAAGTAATTATAAAAAGAGCAGCATGATGCTATGAACCAGCTTGTCACAGTTTTACTAAGAGACGTGATAAGGCAGAAAAGTGGGCTGACGATTAGCAAAGTTGTTTGGTTGTGTCAAAGTGCTCCCACCCTCCAAATAAACTCCCCAAACCCCTCCTCAGGACGATACAAACAGACTGGGAAGGAAGGAGCAATGAAAAAAATAAGCATGCAACACATTTAAAGATTAGAAAAATCCCTGAAGCAAAATACTGACTGTATATCCCAGAAATCAAAGAAAATATATGTTGAAGGGAAATGCAAATCAGTGCTTGGATCATTCTGGCGTATTTCTCTGATAACTTACCTTATTTTTGATTGGATAATTTCATGATTTGACAGAGACAAGCCATCTAACTATGAGTTATGAGCGAAGATAGAAAAATAGAAATAGATAGATAAATAGAATTTCTCTGAGCTTTGAATTCTGTTAAAGGTGGAAATAATCTCTCCAAGGAAGCCAGTTCAATCAGTTTATGGAGTCCAAATTGCACTGACATAAAGACAGGCAAGTTAACACACCTGGCTCCCCACACACAGTGACCATGTTTTATAACGCACAGTAAGATGCGCAGCCCAGCTGATTCTTCTCCTCTCAACTATTTCACCCTTTTTCCCTTTGTGCAGCTTGCAAAGTTATAAAAGGTTGATAAAATTGTCCAACCTTCACAAAAACAGGCCAACTACTAGAAAGCTGATTATCCCAATAGGTGTGTGAATTTGGGACTGGAAAACTACTGGGAAAGATGGTTATTGGTGGATACCAAAAGATATATGAGATAATTTTCACCCTAAAATCCCAAAGACTAATTTCTTCTCTTCAGGATATCTCCTGATCTCAAGCTGCACACTTCCAAAGGCTGTAGCCTTTGTCCAGGTCCAGGGAATCTAGGAAGGGGATCAGAAAAGGAGGAGAAAGACAGAAACAGGCCATCTGCATACAGCAGCAAAAAGTATTCATTAAACCTGGAAGAAGCCTACCTTGAGTCAGAACAGTCTTCCAGATTAAATGGAGATGTGGAGTGTGCTCTAGGAGCAGTTGGAGCAGTCTTATTAGCAGACTAGAGCAGAAAATAGATGGGAGATAGAGAAAGAAAGGGGCTGGTCCAAAGAGAAGCATCTTATAGTAGATGGGTTAATGTTTTCAAAACAAGCTTGTGAAATCAGGGCCCACAACAATTTGGCTTTTAGAAAAAAAATTATTATTAGAGCAGAATAATCATTACATTCAAAATAATGGACATTTGTACAAAAGTAGAGTCATATGGTCAGCAGCGGACCAAAACTAGTAAAAATACCTCTTCAAAGTACTGCCAGAGTAACATTTTATGATGACAAAACCCGTAGCTAAAAGACATGGTACAAAACAAGTGTTTAGTCCAGCAAGGAGAAAAGAAACTAAATTGAGGGTAGTAACAACTCTGAGAAACTCATATGCAGAGTAATGCAAGTACAGAACTGTTAAACCCTGTGCTACATCAGCTGACCTTCATCTTCACCATTATACAAACCCACCCCTTTAGTTACTGGTTTTTGGTATTTCTCTGAGGATCTGGCACATTGGGAAGCAATTTCAGGAAGTGCATTTTACAGGTGCATACAGCAGTTGTCTCTCCAGGTAGTTCTAACATTAAAATGCAGGTTTGTTCATGTACTCTTCCACTGTCTGGGGAAAAGAAAAAGAAACAACTGATGCATTATGGAGCGGTACAGTAATATTCAACAAACCCTCTTGTCCTCCTTGAAGACAGTTCTAGTTTTGCATGGAATTAGATCAGATTAATTAAAATGTAGACATAATTCTGCTTTGAAAATCTGATCTTCAGATCATGATAACCCACGGTTGTGGCTAAACTCATCATGTCTAGCTGGCCTTTGTACATAGCTGGCTTAGTTTCATGTGCAAATGCCAGAGCACTGTAAAAAAACTGTTTGACTCGCATAGCATGTCCCTAGCTACTTCCACCAGCGTGCTGTTTCCTTTGGCATTACAATGGATCTTTCACTACCTGGGAAATAAATGAAGTAAATCCATCACATTCAACTGCTTTTGCCATTCCTGGCTCAACGGTACAAGTTACAGAAGAGAATTCCTGAAGGGTTCTGAATAAAGGGTACATATCTGTGCCCTGCAGAAGAACTACACAGGAGTTTATGAATGAGAAGTGGAGTTTGCCAGCATATACTCTTTCCAATTTTAAATGTTAATAGTAGATCATCTGTTTCCAATGTATTGTTATAGTGAAACAGAATAGATTTTTCTGTGTTTATATATACATATGTATATGTAAAACATAATCTTAGATTATGTTCTTATAGTGTATAAATATCTTAGATATGTCTTAAACTATTCGTTAATATAATATCTGAGAAACTTTACCAGTTAAACCACAAGAGAGCAACAGCTGTATATAAAGAGCCTCCAGATGATTCTGCAAGATGCAAGAGGGTTGAATTGAAAGCTTACACAACTGCTACCTTAACTGCGTTGTTGTACCTACTGAAACTAAATGCAAGACACATTTGGATAATTAAGTACCAGAAGTGCTTAGCTGTATTTTAAGCTCCTGTCAAACAAGGAAGATGTAGGAAGATGAGGTGTTGGCCTTTTGTCTTCCTCTGCCTTACCTCCTGCAACATGTCAGAGTCTTCTATGGCTTTCACTGCAGACCTCTTCGAAGTTTCTTGTACTTCTCCACCAATTATAAACTCATCAAGAATAAAATAAGCTTTTTCAAAGTTAAAGATAATATCCAGCTCGCACACCTGCCAGAACAAAAGGACACCCCACATTTAAACCACTTTTACAGCATTATAAGCACTACTGGGCCAAAAGTTGTTAAGATGATCAAATGTATTCAACATATTCACTCTTGTGGCAGGTAGCAGGGTGAAGAAAGATCACAGAATCATAGAATCGTTTAGGTTGGAAAAGACCTTTAAGATCATCAAGTCCAACCGTTAACCTAACACTGCCATCCCACCACTAAACCATGTCCCTAAGCAATATTATAAGATACTGCATATTATGTAATACTGCAGCTTCTGCACATATTCTCTTCACATACAGAGCCCAGACCTACAGCAAAGATATTCCACTTACTATATTTTATATCATACATTCATAATGGTTTTGAGACAACAAAGCTGACTTCCCAGCCTACTAACATTGTAATAGGTCTTATATAGCATTTGCAATATGGGTTACATACGTTCACACAGAGTTTCACAGAGCAAGAAAAATTGCCTGTCCTAGTGACCTTACAGTCAGCAGCCACTTTTTTGTTTTGAGGCAGTACAAATATGAGTCATGGCACAGTGATTTAAATATGAGATAAATTAAAGTAGTGGGAACAATTTCAAAAGTATTCATAGAAAAGATGGGTCTCTTGTAGTCTTTAAAGACTTACTGAAAGACTTATTTGGATCTTCTTCAGGTCTTTTATTTAAAAAAAACCCACTTTATCTTTTTTCCTCTTTATATGTCCTTAATTGTTACACAATATTATGAAACAAACAAAACCAGTATATCTGAAGATGTCAGGAGAGATAATTAAAGTACTGTCACAGAGGGGTTTTTAAAGTAATTTTCCTCAAGCTTTCCCCTCAAATTCTATTCCGAAACAGATATACAAAGCATCAGGATTAATTTGGGGGAAGGAGAAAGGATGGAAAAACAATCTTATGGTAGTGTCTGCACTGTTTTATAAAATATTCTAATAATGAATTTCACTCCAGATTGAGAGAGTCTATAGGGCAAAAAATGCTGCTGGAAACACGAAGCAAACCAGCTTCAGATAACTGTTATCAGGCAGCCAGGAACGTGGTTCATGGGAGAAAGCAAAACCTACATTTCCAAAGTATCTGTCCAGAAGCTCTACATATCGATGAACGACCTCTAGTGTCAGGAGCTCATTATCCTGGTCTTCTATTGCACAACAGAAATACAAACTAGCATACCTAGGGAAACAAAGGCAAAAATGTGTGAACAGCCAGATCCTCAGCACCCTGCTCGTCTCTTAGAAGTTACACAAATGACAGTTAGTGTCTACCTGGTCTCTAAAATAATAATTTTCTTTCATTCTTACAGTCTCCCAGAGAACACTTTAAAAGATCGGATGATTTAAAAAATTATTTATTTAGTGAGAAAAACAAACTCTAGCCTTGGCAAAGTGGGATACCTCCAACACTGGTCTTAATAAAGCAGTCAGTCAATCAGTAGTGCTTTAAGGTCTCCCTCACCTGCTGCAATAGCACTGCAGTAAGCAGGGTTAACTAAACTGTAGAATGAGTTTCTGCTCTCTCTTAAAAAATAAAAATAAAGGCAAAAATAAAGGTGGAAGGAGTTACATCTCAGCAAGCCTGCTGACTATCAAATGACTGAAAGTGTTTTACATCTGGCCAGAAAGCATGAAACTGCTTAGACCAAACAATCTTCATAACTAACTTGCAGCAAAACTTTATGTTTAAACCAACCCAAGATGGGAGTAACAATTTACCTCAACCCTCTGGTGCTGTGGCTGGAGGCCCAGCTTGTCACAGCATCTGGTCAGATGTTTACATCCATCCCTTCACAGCACAACTCCCATTTTTGCTAAACGGGAGATGCCGCTTAATTTGTACAATGTGCTATACCTTAAGGCTACTTTTGCTTGCTACAACTTTACAACAATTAACAGGCAGTTAATGCTAAGCATGTGTAACTGGGGACCAGCGATTTGTTTGGAAAAGGAAAAGGGAATAAACACTTTCCAGAGCAACAAATATTTCAAAGACAAAACCTGACAAAATGTTGAAAGTGCCTCAGAACAGTTCCTGCAACCTGCCAGTGAGCTGATAAAGCCCAGCCCACATCTCAGCAGGCCACCTTCAGGAATTAGAAGGAGCAGTGAAGCCTAAAGCCTCCTAACAGAATGTCAACCACTAATACTTAATAGGTTACTCCCATTTTTCTCATTTGACAGACTGTACAAGTATTTTCCACCCCACGATCTACCCAGGGACACTATGCTGTTATACACCAAGTGCCGATGGCAGGCTCCTACTAGCTTAGTCTAGCACTTAGGGTTTTGTTTGCTGTTTTTCTTAAAGTGAGCTTTTATTTTTCCTCTTCTAGCACATGTTATTTATATGAATAGTAATTACATGTTCTCATAAAATTACTCACACCTTTTGTAAACAAGCTTGAGGTCTTTCCAGTCAACAAAGCTACTTGTTTTTTGATTGCGAGACAGAACAATCTGAACA